TCACTGTTTTTGACCAATTTGAATATGATGTACCATGGTGTAGTGTGTAGCTTGCTTGATTTCTTCCTTTTTCCTTTTTTTCCTTCCCTTTTTCTTGCTTTCCTTCTTTCTTTTTCTTTTTCTCTCTTTCTCACTCTTTCTCTCTTTCTTTTTTCTTCCCTCCCCTCCCCTCCTCTCCACTTCTCTTCCTTCCCTTCCCTGCCTTCTGTGCTTGGGGTTCTTTGAGATACTTGAACGTCCAGGTTTTATAGTTTTCATCAAATTTGAAATTTTCCTGAGCATTATTTATTTAAATACATTATTCTCCATTTTTCCTTCTTTTTTCCTCTTCTTTTGGGTCTTCTACTACGTTAGCTACTTTACGTTTTTCTGTAGCTCACTGATATTCATTTCGTTTTTAACGTCTTTTTCTCTCTCTTTGCTTCATTTTGTATAGCTTCTATTGCTAAATCTTTAACTTCACTAATGTTTTCTTCTCTAATGTCTAATCTTTTATTAATAGCATCTAGTATATTTTTTATTACAGACATTGTAGTTTTCATCTCAAGATGTTCAATATAGATATTTTTTATATCTTTGATTATTTAAGGTATTTTATAACTTTTTAACATGGAATACAAGACTGACAAATATTAATATGCATGTCTGCTGATTCTAATAAATGTGTTAGTTCTAGGTACGTTTCAATTGATTGATCTTTTTACTCATTGTTTATGTTTTCCTACTTCTTTGTATGACTGGTAATCTTTTGTTTGATTCAAGATGTTGTCAGTTTTACCTTGTTCGGTGCTATTTTTGTTTTTCCTATAAATATTTTTGAGCTTTGTTCTGAGATAGAGTTAAGTTACTTGAAAAATAGTCTTGGCCAGGCGCAGTGGCTCACACCTGTAATCCCCGCACTTTGGGAGGCTGAGATGGGTGGATCATGAAGTCAAGAGGTTGAGACCATCCTGGCCAACATGGTGAAACCCCGTCTCTACTAAAAATACAAAAAGTAGCCTGGCGTGGTGGCACGTGCCTGTGATCACAGCTACTCAGGAGGCTGAGGTGGAAGAATTGCTTGGACCCAAGAGTTGGAGGTTGCAGTGAGCCAAGATTGTGCCACTGCACTCCAGCCTGGCAACAGAGCAAGACTCTGTCTCAAAAAAAAAAAAAAAAAAAAAAGGTCTTATTTTTGCCTGTGAGATGGGTTTCCTGAATACAGCATACCGATGGGTCTTGACTTTTTATCCATTTAGCCAGTCTGTGTTTTTTGATTGGGGCATTTAGCCCATTTACATTTAGGGTTAATATTGTTATCTGTGAATTTGATCCTGCCATTTTGATGCTAGTTGGTGGTTTTGCCTGTTAGTTGATACAGTTCCTTCATAGTTTCTATGGTCTTTACAGTTGGTATGGTTTTGCAGTGGTTGGTACTGGTTGTTCCTTTCCATGTTTAGTGCTTCCTTCAGGAACTTTTGTAAGGCAGGCCTGGTGGTGATGAAATCTCTCAGCAGTTGCTTGCTTGTAAAGGATTTTATTTCTCCTTCACTTACGAAGCTTAGTTTGGCTGGATATGAAATTTTGGATTTAAAATTCTTTTCTTTTAGGATGTTGAATATTGATCCCCACTCTCTTCTGGCTTGTAGGGTTTCTGCTGAGAGTTCCACTGTGAGCCTGATGGGCTTCACTTTGTGGGTAACCTGACCTTTCTCTCTGGCTGCCCTTAGCATTTTTTCCTTCATTTCAACCCTGGTGAATCTGATGATTATGTGCCTTGGGGTTGCTCTTCTCGAGGAATACCTTTATGGTGTTCTCTGTATTTCCTGTATTTTAATGTTGGCCTGCCTGGCTAGGTTGGGAAAATTCTCATGGTTAGTATCCTGAAGAGTGTTTTCCAGCTTGGTTTTGTTCTCTCCGTCACTTTTAGGTACACTGATCAAATGTAGATTAGGTCTTTTCACATAATCCCATATTACTTGGAGGCTTTGTTCATTTCTTTTCACTCTTTTTTCTCTAATCTTGCCTTCTCACTTTATTTCACCGAGTTAATCTTCAATCTCTGATATCCTTTCTTCAATTTGGCTATGGAAACTTGGGTATGCTTCACAAAGTTCTTGTACTGCGTTTTTCAGCTCCTTCATGTTGTTTATGTTCTTCTCCATGCTGGTTAATCTCATTAACTTTTCATCTAACCTTTTTCAAGGTTCTTAGTTTCCTTGCATTGGGTTAGAACATGTTCCTTTAGCTCGGAGAAGTTTGTCATTACCCACCTTCTGAAGCCTGCTTCTGGCAATTCATCACACTTATTCTCCATCCAGTTTTGTTCCCTTGCTGGTGAGGGGTGTTCTGGCTTTGCAAAGACACACATAGGCTCAAAATAAAGGGATGGAGGAAGATTTGCAAAGCAAATGGAGAGTAAAAAAAAAGCAGGGGTTGCAATCCTAGTCTCTGTTAAAACGGACTTTAAACCAACAAAGATCAAAAGAGACAAAGAAGGGCATTACATAATGGTAAAGGGATTAAAGAGCTAACTATCGTAAATATATATGCACGCAATACAGGAGCACCCAGATACATAAAGCAAGTTCTTAAAGACCTACAAAGAGACTTAGACTCCCACACAATAATAGTGGGAGACCTTAGCACCCGCTGTCAATACTAGACGGATCAACAAGACAGAAAATTAACAAGGACACCCAAGACTTGAACTCAGACCTGGACCAAGTGGACCTAATAGATATCTACAGAACTCTCCACCACAAAACCACGAAATGTATATTCTTCTTAGCACCACATTGCACTTATTCTAAAATTGACCACATAATTGGAAGTAAAACACTCATAAACAAATGCAAAAGAACAGAAATCATAACAAACATTTTCTCAGACCACAGTGCAATCATATTAAAACTCAGGATTAAGAAACTCACTCGAAACTGGACAACTGCATGGAAACTAAACAACCTGCTCCTGAAGGACAACTGGATAGATATTGAAATGAAGGCAGAAATAAAGATGTTTTCCTTAAGCTGATAAGCAACTTCAGAAGTCTCAGGATACAAAATCAATGTGCAAAAATCACAGGCATTCCTACACACCAATAATAGACAGACAAAGAGCCAAATCATAGTGAACTCCCATTCACAAAATTCCTACGAAGAATAAAATACTTAGGTATACAACTAACAAGGGATGTGAAAGACCTCTTCAAGGAGAACTACAAACCACTGCTCAATGAAATAAGGGAGGACACAACAGGTGGAAAAACATTCCATGCTCATGGTTGGGAAAATCAATATCGTGAAAATGGCCATACTGCCCAAAGTAATTTCTACAAATAGATTCAGTGCTGTTCCCATCAAGCTGCCAATGACTTTCTTCACAGAATTGGAAAAAAATACCTTAAACTTCAGATGGAACCAAAAAAGAGCCCACATAGCCAAGACAATCCTAAGCAAAAAACAAAAAAACAAAACAAAGCTGGAGGCATCATGCTACCTGACTTCAAACTGTATTACAAGGCTACTGTACTCAAAATAGCAGTTACTGGTACCAACACAGAGATATAGACCAATGAAATAGAACAGAGGCCTTAGACAGAATGCCACACAACTACAACCATCTGATCTTTGACAAACTAGACCAAAATAAGCAACTGGGAAAGGATTCCCTGTTTAATAAATGTTGGGAAAACTGGGTAGCCATATCCTACCAAGTTTCAGCCAAAGCTGAAACTGGATCCCTTCCTTACACCTTATACAAATATTAACCCTAGATGGATTAAAGATTTAAACATGAGGCCTAACACCATAAAAACTCTGGGAAGAAAACATAGGCAATACCATTCAGGACATAGGCGTGGGCAAGGACTTCATGACCAGTACACCAAAAACAATGGCAACAAAAGCCAAAATAGACAAATGGGATCTAATTAAACTTAAGAGCTTCTGCACAGCAAAAGAAACTATCAATAGAGTGAACTGGCAATCAACAGAATGGGACAAAATTTGTGCAATCTACCCATCTGACAAAGGGCTAATATCCAGAATCTACAGAGAACTTAAACAATTTTATAAGAAAAAAACAACCCTATGAAAAAGCGGGCAAAGTATATGAACATACACTTTTCAAAAGAAGACATATATGAGGCCAACAAACATATGAAAAAATGCTCATCATCATTGGTCATTAGAGAATGCAAATCAAAACCACATTGAGATACCACCTCATGCCAGTTAGAATGGTGATCATTAAAAAATCTGGAGACAACAGATGCTGGAGAGGATGTGGAGAAATAGGAATGCTTTTACACTGTTGGTGGAAGTGTGAATTAATTCAACTATTGTGGAAGACAATGTGGTGATTCCTTAAGGATTTAGAAATAGAAATACCATTTGACCCAGCAATCCCATTACTGAGTATATACCCAAAGGGTTATAAATGATTCTGTTATAAAGACACATGCACACGTATGTTTCATGCAGCACTGTTCACAATAGCAAAGACTTAGAACCAACCCAAATGTCCATCAGTGATAGACTGGATAAAGCAAATGTGACACATATATACCATGGAATACTATGCAGCCATAAAAAAGGATGAGTTCATGTCCTTTGCAGGGATATGGATGAATCTGGAAACCATTATTCTCAGCAAATTGTCACAAGAACAGAAAACCAAATACTGTGTGTTCCCTCATAAGTGGGTGTTGAACAATGAGAACACATGGGGGTAGGGAGGGGAACATCACACACCAGGGCCTGGGGGGTGAGGGGCTAGGGGAGGAATAGCAGGGGTGAGGGGTTTGGGTAGGGATAGCATTAGGAGAAATTCCCAATGTAGATGACGGGGCATTGGATGCAGCAAACCACCATCATGGCATGTGTATACCTATGTAACAAACCTGCACAATCTACACATGTACCCCAGAACTTAAAGTATAATAAATAAATTTTAACTAAAGGAAAAAAAATAGTCTTGTCTTTTTCAGTCTTGATTTTATAATTTGTGACAATGAGAGCAATGGTTAGTCAAAGACTAATTATTCAATAGTTAGTTAAGGACTAATTATTTCCTGCTACTAAGGCAAGAATCTTCTAAATACTGGACCAAATGCTCTGGAAATAGGGAAGATTTCCAGTCTGATTGGTGGAAACAGGCACTATGCCTGATCTGGTGTTTTCGCATAGTTCTTTCCCTGGCGTTTTATCTGATTCTGTGCTGGTATATCAGAATTCTATAGACTGGGTAATTTATAAATAATAGAAATTTATTTCACAGTTCTGGAGGCTGGGAAGTACAAGGTCAAGGTGCCAACAGGTTTGGTGTTGGTAATGGCCTGGTGTTCACTTCCAAGGTGGCTCTTGAAGGTGACATCTTTTGAAGTGGAGGAACACTGTTCCTCACATAGCAGAAGAGTGGAAGGGCCAAGCAAGGGAGAACCCACTCCTGGATGGCTTTTATAAAGGGATTAAACCCACCCATGCAGTTGGAGCCTTTGTGACCTAATCACCTCTTAAAGGCTCTACCTTCCAATACCGTTACATTGGCAATTAAATTTTAACATGCATTTTGGAGGGGACAGACATTCAAACTATAGAAGCTGGCTCGTGTAGTTTTCTCACTTACATGTGCTGATCACCTTCTGCTAGTCTCCATGATTATTATTCTATGCTGCTCACTCCTTTCTGATACCTCATCATGCAAATTCTGGTTTCCTTGTTCTTCTTGCAGTCTGAGCGTCGCCTCCTCATGTAGGAGTTCTCTAGGATTTATCCGATCCCTTCCTCGCCACATACTGTGGCCTGAGGACTCTCAAGGTAGTCAACTGGGGTAATCACAGGTCTTGCCTCATTTTTTTTTTCTCATCTCTTAGAGATCACTGTCCTTGGTTGCCTGATATCCAGTAGTGTCTTGAGAACTATTGTCATTCTATTTGTTTATTTTGGGTTGTTTTAGAAGGCAGCATACATGCAGTCCCTGTTACTTATTTAGTTTTGGTCAAAAGGGCAAGTCCCAGCATAGATTTCAACTATTATTCCATTTCATAGGTGAGGAAACGGAGGCACCAAGAGATTAAGTGTGTTTTCTAAGCTTTCACAGCTTGGTAGTAGTAGAGCTAGAATTCAAATACTAGCTCTTGAATACTTGAGCAGTATAACTTCAGAATCTACAATTTTAATTACTACTGTCTACTTTCTTATTACTTTGAAGTTTGCTGAGAACTGTGACAAACATTTCATTAAATTTTTTGTAGCTAACATGAACAGAATGTGAATGTCCAATGGTCCTTAACTCCACATCCCCATAATATTTACATTTTCAAAAGAATATGCTTATTTATTTGGTATGGTTATTTATCTGTCATGTACTATTAAATGTATGATAGAAATATCATCTATTCTAACAATCAAAAATGAGAAATATTTATGAAGTATAGCAGAAGCTGTTTTTAATTATTAACTCTTTCAGTTTTACTCTACCTTGAAATTTTCTGGCTTGTTTTCCTAAGTTGTTCTAAATTTTTGCCAACTTCTCTTAATCCATTGCTCAGACTGTTACCAATGGCCTAAAAGTTTCCCTTATTTAAACCTTTGTATCCATTCATCAAAAACTGGGAAATATGGTGGTTATTTATAAGTAAATCACTTAAAAATGAAGAGCTATAAGTAATTTAATACCTTGCCTTTTTCCTTCTGGAAGCATTCAGAGGTCTTTCCATTAGCTTTTAGATTCCAATTTGTTCTTGTTAGAACTTTTGTTTGTCCTTGAGTGCCTAACTATTAGGCAGCCAGGAGAGATATGTGGGAAAGTACTTTTGTTTACTGCTGCATTACAGGTAACTAGAAACAGTGCCTGAGATGGTGGCTTAATATTGTTGAATGAATGAGTGAATGGATGGATGAATGAATCAAGCTGGTGGCCAGCTGGAGGAGCCTAAGGAAGACTAGACTAGACTGGGCAAACATACGCTGTAGTTAGCATATTCAGTATGACGTGAATACCCAGCACCCAGGCAATTGAGTCTTGACTATATTGCGCCTGGCTTTGGGATACGGGTATGTTCTACTTATATTTGAATACAGTTGAGTTTTGATTTCAGAATTTGTCATACTTAAAATAAGGAAATCATACCGACGCTAAGAAGATACTAGAAAATTGAGTTTATCCTTTCTTTTACTTATACTGTCTTCACTGGAAATTTTAAATAGGTGTTACAATGAAGAGGCAATTCGTAAGTGCACTAGTATTTTGAGCATTTTTAAAAAATGAAAACACATAAAAAGCATTAACTAGAACTGCCAGGCAAAATAGCTCTCCTGTTTAATAGTTTCCATCAGTCCTCAGTTTAATTACCACATTATTCTGCCAGCTTTCTCCAGAAATAATTGACTGAATGAAGTCACTGCATTTGATATTTACAAACACTAGACTTGTAAAGGGGGTATCTGTCAATTCCCCTTTGGCTTGGAAATGACTAAGGCTAACCTGGCAGTACACAACTGCTATTTTAGGCTCAGCATATTTTCATAGTCACTGACTTGGGGAAGGAAAGAGAGGCAGGTAAAACTTACAGCCTTTGTGCTCAGTTTTGTAATTTTGTAATTTTTGATGTGAAAAATGAGGAAGTAAAACCCTGATTTGCTCTAAGACACAACCTTTTGGTTGTTAGAATATCTTGTTAAATTATGAATAGTCTAGAAGGAATCTGCAAAGCTTTGGGTATGTATAGTGAAAGCTTAAACTGGTTTATCAATCATGATAAAAATGAATTACAAAGGTCAGTCTGTTAATGTTATTGACTTAATGTTCTGGAATAAAATGTTTTTCATTTGTATTAAATAATGAGATATGATTTTGAAGCCTTAATGTCAACTGGATAGCAGATAAGATGAAGATTAGGCTGGAAATTACTTTATCGCGGGCAGCCAACAGGATATTTCAAAAGACAAGGTCAATATACGTGAAATTCTTAAAGAATTGAAGTAAAACACCAGATTGCGCCACTATAGATTCAGGTTTAAAAATGTCAGTCCCTACTACATAGAAAAAAAAAATGATTCGGAAGCTTCTGGTGGTCTTCAGAAAGAATTCCAACTATAGAAATATTTACAATGTGATGTTTTCATAGTGGGTATTTATAGTCTTAATATACTGAAGGGTAGGGAGATTGGAAGAAAGATTATTTTGGGCAAAGTGCTTATTTAAAAAAACAACGGAATAGTAGAAGTGATAAACACCTTAAGAGACATATAAGAAGTGAGATGGATCAGGCACGGTGACTCATGCCTGTAATCCCAGCACTTTGGGAGGCCAAGGCAGATGATCACCTGAGGTCAGGAGTTTGAGATCAGCCTGCAACACGGCAAAACCCTGTGTCTACTAAAAATACAAAAATTAGACAGGCATGGTAGTGCATGCCTGTAGTACCAGCTACTTGGGAAGCTGAGGCAGGAGAATTGCTTGAACCTGGGAGGTGGAGGTTGTAGTGAGCCGAGATCATGCCACTGCACTCCAGCCTAGGCGACTGAGTGAGATTCCTTTTCCAAAAAAAAAAAAAAAAAAATGAAGTGAGATGGTTGAAGTTATCATAATTATGAAGAGTATAGAAACAATGGACTCAGAATTATTTCTTATTTGAATCTACATTTCAGCTACACAGATGAAATCTCTTAAAGATGAGCCCAGAGTAATTGAAAGTGTATTTTCATCCATAGTATCATAAATAATTTCAGTTCAGTCATCTCAATGACAACTTATACATTTGGTAAAAACTTATTTTCATTTTATATGGTAGCAGCTGGTTGTGCAGAACATGAAGGCTATAGTTTTGTGATGCCTCCTTAAGTAAAAGGTAAATGCAGCACTGTAAATACACCCTTAGTTCTTGGGACTTGAAAGCCCAATGAGAAGCCCGCAAGCTTGAGCTTTAGTAGCTTCAGATCAGTCTGCTTCTGGTTAACAAATTTAATTCCATTTATATAGAGTGGAAAGATTCACTGTAAGTAAAGAGTAACTAGAATATGAATGTGGTGGAAAGAGGAGTAGATTGGGATTTAAGACCTGGATTCTAGCCTAGACTGACTCATTCATTTTCATTGCTCATTTACTGAATATCAGCATTGTAAAAGGTATTATGGAAGAGGCTGTGAATACAAAGGTCCTGTGCTTACAGAATAAAGTACTCCATGCTTAATCTAGATTTAGGAAATAGTATACACTCTACTCTTCTTAGCGAGACACAGTAGGCTTTGGCATATTAATGGCTCTGAGGGGTTTTACTGTTAGCAAAAACAAACACATCGTAAACGTACAAGGTTTAACTTCATTTATTCCAGCTTTTAGGTTCTTTTCTTTTTTAATTTGTATAATGCATACTGACATCACCTGGAAGACATTTTGGAAAATGCTGTTATAAGAAATTTTCTCATTCCGCTTTCTTAACTATTATAGCTGTTCTTAGGTTTTCCTCTTTGGTCAAGTAGAAACCCTTGTCAGGTAAATGGAATCAATAGTCCCAGCAGTGTATTTTAGACAGACCTGTATACTTTGGACTCAGCTCGCAGTTCTTATTAAATGACACCACCCATCAAGCAGATACTGGCTGTGTGGGGTGTGATAGGTGCTTAACTGGGATGTAGGGACTGGCTTTTCACAGCCAAGGCTTGTTCTTCCTAATTGCTGAGAAAACTTTCCTTTAAGAATTCTGCAGTCGTTTTAAATGAGCTTTCTGCATTAGTGGTGTTGCTTTCTGTGCTTGTTTATAGAGGTTACTACACTTGAGTGTGAATACCACCCAAGCAGCCTATGAAGGAGTTGGAGGCTCAAGCAAAAGTAAGATTCTACTCCTTCTTTAGAGTATTTCTGAATGTGGAGGCTGCCTGAAAGGAGGCCTCTTGCCAAGTATGGCTTAGAATTTAAACTTAATGCCCGTCACCACACCTTTTTTAGGGTAATTACCACTTAACCAAACATTTCTGAGTTCCTTATAAATTGGCCCCCTCAGTCATTTAACCATTTTAGTAGCTCTTCTCTGAACTCAGTCCAAGTTTTCCACAATTTTGGTAACAAGGGTCTCTGCAGGGAATTCAGTGTCCAGGTGCGGCAACCTTGCTAGGGCATTTGGTGGGGTTGGAAGGAACAAGAGAAGGATGACAATCATCTAATATACCTTATGCTCTCATAAATGTATGGCAGCTTTCCAAGTAACAGAGTTGAGCTCACAGTAAATGAGTAGGCAAGTAGACTAGAAATGGCTCCTTCCTTCGTTTAGGTAGAAGAAAAGCCAGTGGCCACTAGCCTGTAAGCAAGTAGTGATGATGTGTGTGAATTTGAAGAAATCCTTCACTTTTAGGATTAACATTATAGCCGGATATAACAGTAAGAAATCATTCTAAAGCAAAGGTTGAGAAGTTCTTAAACAGGGATATTCCATGGAAAGGCAATGGCCTAATCCAATGTTAGTTACTATTGTCTTTTTTTAAGTATTGGCACTGTTTTTGTGTAAATAAGGTCATGAAAGTTATGTCTATTATTTTTGTTTTCTCAGTATTTGATGGGCCTGAAAAGAAGTCTGATGAAACAGATGTTACTTGAAGCTGAGTGACTTTCTCAGGGTCAAGCAAATAAGTAAATGGAGGAGTCAGAATTATATCCCAGGTATGTATAGTTTCAAGCCCTGTACTTCTTACTTGACTGTAAACAAACAAAGCAAATAAAACAAAAATATTCCTGCTCTCACATCCTGTGTCTAACACTGGTTCAAAAAGTAAAATGTTAATTATTGGCAAGTCTTCTTTTTTTTTTTTTTAATTTTGTTACTGTCTTATTATGTCCATATTTTTTAAAAAAATCTGGTTATTAGTTTACCTTTTTTTAAATAACTCTTTTTTATATCAAAAAACAAGATTCCAGAGACATCAGCATCTGGTACTCAGGTGAAAAGTACCATATGTCAGTTTGTTGGGGTTGTGGGTGATCCTAACAAGGATACTGGTAAAAGATAATAGATTTAAGCACAAAATCGATAATAAATTCTTGAAAAATGTAGGGTACTTTTATTTGTTGATATTTGGGACATTAAAACAAATATTTAAAGATCTGATTCCAAAGCTAATTAAATATATGTATAACAGACCACCCTAAGAAATACGTTAATAAGTTACTTATGCATAGAGTTACGTATCCTTGTGGCCACTAATGTTTGAACCATATTTAAAATGCATAAATATTGTTATAAAACAAAACCAGGCAAGGAGAACCATACCAGGAGTATAATAGTTAACAACAAACATGCATATGGTTGTAGCATTTTAAAGATACTTTTTGTAATGATGAGAGTTTAAGATCTCAACTGAAATGCAATTGTTTCTCACAATTAGAAAATTACTTGATACTAAGATTCTCAATTTACCATTACTGGCATGGGATCACATGGCTATTACTATTGGAATTGGGCTTTTGTTCTAAGCTCCTTGCTCTATCATAGATTTCTCCCTGATCATCATGGGATGATTGTTTCCTTAACAATAATCTTACAATCAAGTGAGGCTTTTCAGGGAGTAGAATACTAATATTGACTCAGAATTCTTCTTTTCTTCTCTGGTCTAACAACTCTTTGTACCAGTCCTATCCCACTGTAGAGGTTGAATTCTGTAGATCCATATCTACTTTGAACACAGCTGGACTCTCAGGTAGTTTGGTCTTTGGGGGCTGATATACCTAAAATAACTTTGAATAGTTAAATCTGACCACGTGTGATATGGCAGTTGCCTTTTAATTTTAATGGAATATTTTAGAGCATTTTTATGGAAAAGCTCTTAAAGCTCTTTTTTTCACTACCTTAATGAAAGGGGAAAATGTGTTGCTGTAGCTGTTATTTTTTATAATAAATTTAAAGGAGTTCCTACAAATCTTAACAAGTAAAATCAAATATTTAATGCTTTTGGCAGAATGCCTTTATAGAATTTCCAGAACAAAATAAAATGTTCTGTAGTTAAACTTGAATAAATTAGACTGAATTTCTAAGGGTACTTACATCATGTATCAATATTTTCAAGTTAATTTGATAAAAGGAATCATCAAACAGCATCGTGACAGTAGTTACTATTACGACTGAAAAGATTTATGCTCACATTTTAAACTAGAACAAAAAGCTAGATTCACAAATATGAATATTCCAGATAGAAACTCCATTGTTTTTTTTTTGAGATGGAGTTTCGCTCTTGTTACCCAGGCTGGAGTGCAATGGCACGATCTCAGCTCACTACAACCTCCGCCTCCTGGGTTCAGGTAATTCTCCTGCCTCAACCTCCTGAGTAGCTGGGATTACAGGCACACGCCACCACGCCCAGCTAATTTTTAGTATTTTTAGTAGAGACGGGGTTTCACCATGTTCACCAGGATGGTCTCCATCTCTTGACCTTGTGATCCACCCCCCTCTTGTTGTTTTTTAAAATACCACCTTTCTTTGATAAACGCAAATCAGGATAGCCTCTAATACTTGCTCTTGATGCATGCTACAATTATAAAAGTTATTGTGTGTATTGTAACTCTGAGACTTTGCGAAGGCTGGTTGTTTTAGACTAGAGGCAGTGACATGCTGATAATGTTTAATAAAGGGCTCTCCAGAAAGAAAACAAAAAACCTGATTGTTGATTTCCATAGTGTAAATATGAATAACGGAGTTAAGAAAAGATATATACAATCACCCCTTACCAGCTGATGCCAATGGCATCAACCAGCTCCAGGAGACTACGGAAGAGGAATGACTTTATATTTGTTAAACATGCAACATGGAAGCAATCAGTTATAAAGGCCCAAGTTTAACAGGGAAAAAACTGGTTTAACTAGGTAAGATGGACTTATACCATTACTCTGGGCATAAACCTCCTGGTAAAGTTTTGACAGGATTTAGTCACCTTATCTAATGGAGCATTTTGAACAAATGCCTAGTCGTAAACTTAAGTAGCTGTAGAATTAGTGGCTTGACAAAATGAACATAAATAGAAAAAATTTAAGCGGTGACTTTTTATTTATGTTGCTTGTTATTCATAAAGAATTTTTACCATTACTTTGCTCTGAATGAGCTTTGAGTTGGATCCTTGAAAATTGTCATCATTTTTATGATAGTTCTAGGAAAGATGTTTTCCAGGAAAAGTATTTTATTACTATAATTGTAGCTAATATTTATTTTGACAATTTCTGTTCTTATGTGTTATCTCATCGAATCTGCACAACTTTCTTACTATCTTTTCCATTTTTCAGATGAGAAAACTGAGGGACAAAGAATTTGAGTAACTTGTCCAAATTACCACATCTAGTAATTGGGTTAACCCAGACAGTCTGACTAAAGGGTTTGTGTTGTTAGTCAATACATTCTTATGCCTCAAATATATTTTTTGAAGAAAGCTAGTCATTACTACAGTTAGCCAATCATTTCAGATATTTTAATATTCTTTACAGTAATTGAAATTATGTAAGATTCTTTCAGCATATGTGGACAACAGACATAGTGAACCTGTTACTTATATTCAGAGGGGCGGACAGTTTGTAAAGTGCACAAATTTTAAAGTTAGAACAGTTCTGGGCCAGATAATCTTTAGATTACATTAATAAAATGGAGATTAAATAGTAATGTAGCTAAACTGTATTCTTGCTTTTAGTTAATAGAAATCATCTGTCAAGAAACTATAAATTTGTACTCTTTATATTGCTGCCTAGGCCAGAAAGAATTTAAGGTGCCTTAAAAATACATATGCAGATATATATATGTACACATACACACACGTAAATATATATGTATATGTGTGCAACTATATTATATATATGAAAACAAAGAAACATAATTTAAGGGAAAATAAGACTAGGAAAAAGAATACATAGCAGAGAAGGCGGGTAGTACACAAACACTGTCTTTCCAGGTCTTATATACTTTCTAGAGCTGGATCATAATTTTTGCTCTGAATCTTTTCAAAACCAAAACAGAGGGGAGGAATGATATGCAGTGTCATGTTTTTTGTTTTGTTTTGTTTTGTTTTGTTTTTTTAAAGTACTTAAGCATAGGAAAAGTTTATTTTGTAAGTGATAATAAAGGTTATATTGTGAAATTTAGTGAACAATATACTCAACATATTTAGAGTACAATGCATGTTTTGCCATTAAAAATATATATATATATTTTTATATATATAGCACTGATCGATTATTATAATTCTGTGGCCAAACAGAATGGTCAAATACTGCAGTCCAGGTATGTAAGTAGCAACAGCTTTGTCTGGCTACCTAACGCTAAAATGGATGGATAGATAGATAATTATGTGCTACAGTTCATGGCATATCCTTTTAGTCGGGGAATTAATTTCAACTTTTTAATTTGATGAGCTTTTGTTAAAGATTCCAAAAGAAAGATCTTTTTGATTCAAATTATGGAGCACCTAGAGTTAGCAAGGTATTAGCATGTAACATAAAAAGAAACACACTCAAATTAGATAATTGAGAAAAATTTAATGAAGGGACCATTTACAAAGGCATGAGCTATGTTAAAGGAAATTAACAAGGAATGATAGCAACTGCTAGGAGCCATGATCACCAAAGCCACAGGAATGAGGAAAGGAAGTGGTAACCAGAATCCAAGAACTTGATGGCTGTTGTCTGCTAAAGTTGTAGTTGTAGAAGATTCCTTGACAGGAGCTGTGGCCCTCTGTAGAGAAAGTCAGCCACTGTCATCCTGTTGCCTGAGGGAGGGAGCCGGAGGAATAAATACCCCATCCTTTTTCTCTTCCCAGCCACTCACTCCTGCTAGTGCCTCCCACTAGCCTAACCCAACAGGAAGAGCCTTGCAGGGCACAAAACAGAAAAAAAGAAAGATAGTGAATTTATCTGGAAGGGCAAATGGAGATTATCTAGCACAGTGTATATATTTCTTCATTAAAAAAATTTTATTTGGAGGAAATTTTAAAAAATAAACAGAAATACAGGAAACAAAACATGAACCTGTATTGCCAGCACACAGAATATAAACAACTATTAACATTTTTCCCCAATCCCAGCCCCTAGGAACCACTAATTTGATTACTGTTCCTGTAGTTTTGAATTCCCACCAGTAATATATGAGAGTTCCAGTTGCTCCACATCTTTGCCAGCACTTGGTATTATCATTAAAAAGAAATTGAGGCATTTAATATGTATATAGTGGTATCTCATTGTGATTTTAATTTGCACTCTCCTAATGGCATCTGATGTTGAACATCTTTTCATGTCCTTATTTGCCATCTGTATCATTTCTTTGGTGACTTGTCTATTCAAATATTTTTTCCCATTTTTATGCTGTTTAGTATGTCTTCTTGTTATTGAGTTTTGAGGGTTCATTTTTACTTCACAAAAAAGTAATGACCACCCTTCTTTGAACAAAGTTCAAAGCATGGGCAGGGGCAAGACATATGGCCTACCTACTTCAAGCATTATAACTTTGTAAGCAAAAGATGGAGCTTTAGCTATGGAGAAACCCTCCGAGGCCTGAGAGATCAATATACCCTAAACAATTTGTTTTCAGAGTGAAAACAGAATTAAATACAAAGAATTCTTTAAGGGTAGTATCTTAGTCTCTTCAGGCTACTGAAACAAAATACTATAGCTTGGGTGGCTTGAATAACAAGCTT